GCACGCGCCCTATAGCAAAAACCTCTCAAAAAAAAAAAAAAGGAAATTATTAAAAAAAAAAAAAGCTAACTGTTGGGTCAGCTGGTATGGTGGTGGTTGAGGCGGCTGGATCCCACATGGCTGACTGCGTGGTTTGAGTTCTGGACCTTGTGGTTTGAGAAACAGACTGGGCACGTGTGTATGCATGCCCCCAAACCTGAAAAGAAATGCAGAAGACATGCAACAAGGCCATGCCTTTTAAGGGGCACTCTCTCCCTCTACCTCTCTTTGTTTCTCTATCATGGGCACATGCACCCACTGACAAGTTTAAAAGAAAACAAAACAACAACAATAAAAAGATGTTTATCTGGCTCATTGTTCTGGAAGCTGGGAAGTCCAAGAACATGGCGCCTGAATCTGTTGCGAGTCATCCACTGAGGAAAGCAGAAGGCAGAAGCAAGTGATTGAGACAGAGCAAAAGAGAGGCCAAATGCCTGCAGTAACAGTATTCACCCATGCATGAGGACAGAGCTCTCAGGGCCTACCCAGCTGTTAGAGTCCAGCGCCCTTAACCACCACACCACCCACTGCCCCCAACAGTTAGCTTATTATGACCAGGTAATTTGTTTTTGTTTGTTTGTTTTTTGAGAGGTTTTTGCTATGGGGCGCATGCGCTTGCCAGAAAGACAGAGAGAGACAGAGACAGAAAGCGAGAAATCACCCCCCGGGGGGATGGCCATGCCGCAATCCCTTCTCCATTCTCCTCTTGGAATCTTGGGCATGCACTCACGCACACCCAGTGTGAGTTTTAGCCACGGGGTCCAGGACTCAAACTGTGGTTGACATGGGAGTCCAGTGACATAGCCATTATGCCACCTGCTGGTCCCATGACCAGTTAATGTTTAAGTACTTCATGTTTATTTATGTATTTATTCCTCACAAAAATCCTCTGAAGTAGGAATGATTTTTTAAAATTTTTTGCTACAGGGCATATGTGCTCACTGGAGAAAGACAGAGAGAACAAACCCCCCAGGGGGATTGACCATGCAGCAATCCCTTCTCCTCCATTTTCCTTTTGGGATTCTGGGCATGCATGCACATACGCCTAGTATTTTTTTATTTTATTTTTTAATTTCTTTTTTAGATTTCTGATATATAGTGCATGCGCTTGCTGGAGAGAGAAAGAGAGTAACAGAGAGAGAAAGCAAAAATTCGCCCCTGGTGGAGATGGTCACACTGGAATCCCTTCTCTTCCCTTTTCGTCTTGGGATTTTGGGGACACACCAGATGCCTAGCATGATTTCCAAGCTGTTGGGTCTGGGACTTGAAATGTGGAATCAGTGATCTGGGATCTAGCTGCCTTAACTACTATCCAGCAGTGTGCTTTTCTTTTCTTTTTTTTTTCCAAATTTTATTTATAATTTTTTTAAGAATTACTTATTTTTTATTTGATATTATTTATTTTTCTTTTCTTTTCTTTTTTTTAGAGAGGTTTTCTCGCTATAGGGCACGTGCGCTCGCCAGACAGACAGAGAGAGACATAGAGACAGAAAGTGAGAAATCACCCCCTACGGGGGATGGTCACGCCGCAATCCCTTCTCCTCCATTCTCCTCTTGGGATCTTGGGCATGCACGCACACCCGCCCGGCGTGAGTTCTAAGCCACCGGGTCCAGGACCCGAACCGCGGTCAACCACGTGGGAGGCCAGCGACATAGCCACCATGCTAACTGCTGGTTCCCTTGACCAGAGAGAGACACACACAGAAAGAAAGGGAAAGTGAGAAAGCAAGTCACTGGGTCCGGTATTTGAACTGCAGTCGGCCATGTGGGAGTGTCCAGCACCTTAACCACCATGCCACCTGCTGGTTCCATTATTTTATTATTTTAAAAAATAATTATTATTTATTTCATTCCATTTGTTATTATTATTTCTCAACTTGATCAGAGAGAGACAGAGAGATTGAGAAAGAGAAAGCAAGAAAGCAGGCACCAGGTCCGGGACTCGAACTGCAGTCAGCCACGTGGAAGCAGTGCCTTTAACCACCATGTCATCTGCTGGCTCTTTCTTTTTTTTTTTTCTTTAATCATTATTATTTTTAAATCTGCTATACTATAGGGCACATGTGCATGAGAGAGAGAAGCCTCCAGGTCCAAGACTCGAACCAAGGTCATCCATGTGGAACCTAGCACCTTAACTACCATGGCACCTGCTGGCCACCTAGTATGCTTTTCAAGCCACCAGGTCTGGGACTCAAATCATCATGTGGGATCAGCCTCCCTAACCACACGACCACGTTGGCTGGCTAAGGAAAGATGATCACTTCTGTAAGAAAATAACCCAAGTGATTCATTTTTCAAGATTAGCTTAACGAAAGTTGCTTAACCAGCTTGCAGATGTGATAATCCCAGAAAATATATACTCCCAGAAAGCTCATGAACAAACAAACAAAACCCCAAAGTGACAGGTCACTCTTGAGAACTTTTTTCTTAAGATGGTGACTAGTTAACAGCTCTTTGCTCCTTTATTTATTTATTTTTATTTATTTTTTTTTAGAGAGTGAGATTTTTGGTCACTGGAGAGGCAGATAGAAAGTGAGAAATCACCCCCGACCCCAGGGGGAATGGTCACGCTGCAATCCTTTCTCCTCCACTCTCCTCTTGGGATTTTGGGCGAGCATGCACATGCCCGGCCTGAGTTTTAAACCGCCAGGTGGGGGGACTCAAACCACAGTCGACTACATGGCAGTCCAGCAACATAACTATTATGCCACCTGCTGGTCCACCTTTGCTCCTTTTTACTTCCTGGTTCTTCTCCCATCTCAGGGCATTTGGCTGGCCTCTGTCAAGGGCTTGACTTGAACAGGAGAGAAAAGGGGATGATACATGCCTTCTAAGGCAATAATGAAACTGAGGTGACATCGGAGATTGTACACCCCATAGTACTCAGCCAGTGAGGAGCTGGGGGAGGGACTTATGCACTAGAGAATAAATGACTTGTAACTGTTTGAGGTGTGCCTGCCCATCAGGCAGCCAACAGGCAAGAACACCACTAAAGTCTTGCTTCTCTAAACCTTGAACCTCATGTCTCCAAGTCCATTCTTGGGCTTTGGACAGGTGAGTGTGTTTCTCATGACTCCTATTTCACAGATAAAGAAATTGAGGCAACTTGCCCAAGGTCACACAGATATCAAATGGTAGAGTGAGGAATTGAACCCATGCAAGCTGGCTCTGAAGTTCATGCTCTTGACCACTATGGTGATGCCCCTGTCATTCTTGTTAATGGTTGCAAAGTGTATTCTACAAAGTGAGTGTGTCATATTTTGTTTACTCACTCTTTGATAGGCATTCTGATCGTTTCTAAGGCTTTGCTATTACCTGCCATGCTGCAGAAACCGTCCTTGATCAACCCTTTATGCTCTCGGGCAAATATATCTGTAAGAGAAGTAGTAGAAGTAAAACTACTGTGTCATCTAAATGTTCTTAAAGAATTATTTACTTAATTTCATTTATTCATTCATTTAATTAAATTTGACCAGAGAGAAACACAGAGAGAAAAAGAGAAGGAAAGTGAGAAAGCAAGCCACCAGGTCCCAGCTTCGAATCATGGCCAGCCACGTGAGAGTGTCTAGCGCCTTAACCACCATGCCACCTGCTGGCCCCGCATCACCTAAATTTAACAATTATTATGAAAGTTCTTTTTCTTTTTCTTTGCCAAAAGGTATGTGCACTAGCCAAGGAGAGGGAGAGAGAAAGCACCCCTCAGTGGGGCCTGCCACCATTCCTTGTCCTTTATCTGTCCATCCTGTTGGGATCTGGGGCATGCACACATATGTACCCTACCAGTGTAGTTTTCAAGCCATTGGGGCTGGGATCCAAACTGTGTGGTCAGCCATATGGGATCTGACTCCTTTAAGCACTAGGCCATGGGGCCAGCCAGTTTATGCTCCCTTTATCTATGTACTGCAGTGAGGACATAGTACAGGAGTCTAGTAGCTGGAAAAGGGGAAGGCCAGTCCTAGTAGGAAACAACGCAAGCAAAGACTGAGACTTGTGTGCTTTTGCCGTTAGGGATTACCTTGCTTATCTCTGTTCAACAAATACTTGTTGCAGCTTTAATAAGTACTTCCAGGCAATGGGGAGACAGTACTGAGGACACAACAGACCTGGTCCCTGAGTCATAGAGGGGAGAGAGACACCGATGAATTAACACAAAAAATGAAAATGTAATAACAAGCTGCAATAAGGCGGGGTCGGGTACTATGATAGGGAATAACAGAGAGGGTGGAACTGGATTAGAGCAGAAAATTCTAGTAGGGGGACCATCTGGAGGACATGAAAGAAAAACTGTGGCTGGTGTAAAGTGGTGGATAAGGAACCTATAGATTTAAGTCTTAAGATTTCTCACTTTCCTTCTCTCTCTCTCACTCCATCTCTTGCCCAAGGTCACACAGATATCAAATGGTAGAGTGAAGAATTGAACCCATGCAAGCTGGCTCTGAAGTTCATGCTCTTGACCACTATGGTGATGCCCCTGTCATTCTTGTTAATGGTTGCAAAGTGTATTCTACAAAGTGAGTGTGTCATATTTTGTTTAATCACTCTTTGATAGGCATTCTCTGGTACCTCTGGCCTCATCCCACCACCCCCGGTCTTTCTGGTACCTCTCTGGTCAAACTTAAAAAACAGATAAATAAAGTTAGAAAAATTCTTTTAAAAGAAATGGTTTGTTTTATTTTATTTATTATTATTATTATTTGATCAGAGGGAGGGAGGCAGAGAAAAGGAAAGTGAGAAAGCAAGCCACCAGGTCCAGGACTTGAACTGTGGTCAGCCATGTGGGAATCCAGCCCCTTTATCACCATGCTACCTGTCGGCCCCAGAATAATTCTTTTTTTTAAGGATGTTTTTTAAAGAATGATTTTATTTAACTTTATTTATTTTATTTGACCAGAATGAGAGAGAGTGGGAAAGTGAGAAAGCAAGCCACCAGGTCCAGGCCTTGAACCACAGTTGAACATGTGGGGGTCCAGCACCCTTAACCACCATGCCATCTGCCGGACCCCAGAAAAATTCTTAAAACAAAACAAAACAAAATACAAACAAACAAAACATTGATCAGGGGCCAGCAAATGGCATCCTGGTTGTGTTGTTGGAATCCCACATGGCTGATCACAGTTTGAGTCCTAGACCTGGTGGTTTGAACATCACACCAGGCCTGTGTGTGTGCGTGCCCAAGATCCCGAGAGAGGAGAATGGAGGAGAAGGCATCATGGCGTGGCCATCCCCCCAGGGGGGTGATTTCTCACTTTCCCTCTCACTATGTCTCTTTCTCTTTCTCTAGCAGCACATACTCCCTAAGGCAAAAACTTCTTAAAAAAAAAAAAGACATTGATTAACTACAGTGTATGAACCTTTCTTGGATCCTGACCATTATTATTTTTATTTTTGTCTAGAGGGCACAGGCACTTGCCAGAAAGAGGGAGAGGGAGAAAGCAATCCCCCTGGGGAATGGTCACAGTGCAATCTCTTCTCCACTCCTCCCTCCTTCCTCTCTTTTTCTCACTTTACCTTTCCCTCTTGCTCTCTCACTCTCATTCTGTCCCTCTCTGGTCAAATTAAAATAAATAATTAAGTAAAACAATTCTTTTTGTTTTTGTATTTTGTTTTTAAAGATTTTATTTAACTATTTATTTATTCATTTTAAATTGACCAGAGAAGGACAGAGTGAGAGAGAAAGAGAGAGGGAAAGTGAGAAAGCAAGCTGCCAGGTCCAGGACTCAAACTGCTGTTGGCCATGTGGGAGTCCAGTTCCCTTAACCACCATGCCACCTGCCAGCCTCAATAAAACAATTCTTAAAAAACAAAAACAAAAACAAAAAACAAAACCCCTACATCCTGACATGTTTGTCTGACTTTGGAAGTAACAGTTTGCAAAGACATACTTGGAAAATCAATCATGGGTCTTTCCCTCTCTAAGAATCACAGTTATTTCTTCTTCCGGTCTTTCTGGACTTCCCTTTTCCCCATCCTGGGCTGGATGCCCCTTTCTATGGTTCCGGGGTAGTGGCTCTCAATGCAGGGGGTGGTGGGATGAGGCCAGGATTTTGGCCCCCTCTCTCCTAGGTAACACTTAGCAAAGTTTGGAGACTGGCTGGCACAGCTTGATGGGAGGAGTGCTACTGACACCTAGTGGGCAGAGGCCTGGGAGACTGGTTAACATCCTCCAGCGCAGAGAACCCTACCCAACAAAGAACTTCCCTGCCCAAAAACTACCAGCTGAAGATGAGAAAACCTGAGGTATGCTACCTTTGTCACAGCACTCATAAAAACAACTACAAGTGTCGACTGGTTGACCTTCCCACCTCAAGACAGGTGACACTTGTATCTTGTCCAGTATTTGGCATGTACTGGACACTTAATAAGCATTAAAGGAAGGTAGAAAGGTACATGGAGATCCAAAGTTAGGGCTCTGTGAGATCATGCTGCTTGTTTTCTTGAACCATTTCCCACCTTCCTTTTGGCATTGTAATCAGTTGGTTGATAAGCATTTCTTTATTTCTTTTTCTTTTTTTGGGGGGGGGAGGGGTTTTTGCCATAGGGCGCTTGTGTTCCCCATAAAGACAGAGAGAGACAAAGAGACAGAAAGGGGGAGAAATCCCCCCCCCCCCCCCCCCCCCGCAGAGGGGATGGCCACGCTGCAATCCCTTCTCCAGTCTCTTCTCAGGATCTCGGGGACGCACACACACCAGGCGCGAGTTTAAGTCACCGGGTTCGGAACTGGAACCCCGGGCCATTACATGGGAGTCCAGCGACATAGCTATGACGCCACCTTCTGGTCCCCGATAAGTATTTCATTTGATGAACATGTAAAAATATTAACCACTTACTGTACACTAGTGTTCCAGGTACTGGAAATACAACAATGAGTAAAGTCAAGTCCCAGCTCTAGTGAAAATGTCTTTTTTTTTTTTTTAACCTTCTAGAGGGTACATGCATTCACCAGAGAGAAAGAAAGGTAAAGTGAGCAAGCATCCTCCCTACCCCCCTTAGGGGATGGTCATGCGCAATCCTTTCTCCTCTATTTCCTCCTCCTTTCAAGGCAAAGCAACAAGCCCACTGCAGACATGCAGACACTGATAAATATGAGGAAGACTATAAAGGCGTAGTATAACACGGAATGAGACACAACAGCATATTCTAGGTAGGTGAGCAGGTGGCATTTCAGCCAATGATGAGAACGAGCCAGGCATGACAAGTTCTAGGCTAGGGTGAAAAGTGATCCAGACAGTGGCAACTGCAACTGTAAAGGCTGGGGTTAAAAAATGGCCAAAAGACCAGGGGAAGGGGTCGACATATGCCATGGACATAGTCTGATTTCTTAAATTTGCTATAGGGTGCATACACTCCCTGGAGACAGAGCGAGAGAGAGTGAGAGAGAAAGCACTTGCCAGGAGGGATGACCACGCAGCAATCAATCCCTTCCGCCCTCTTCTCCTCTATGGATTTTGGGTGCCCATGCACACGCACCTGGCTTCTTTTTTAAGCCTATCTGGAACTTGAACGGCCCAGTGGGTCCTGTGGAATTCAACCGCCTTAACCACCACGCCACCAGCTGGCCCCACATTTCGAATTTATTCAAACTGCAGTTGGAAGCCTGCTTTATATTCTTGAAAGATAAAATAGCCTCTCTGGGAAGACGTATGAAACAGAAAATAGTTACGTTCTCTTGTCTAACTCGACACCTCCCAGGTCCAGGAGAGGGCGCTCTGGCGGCGGAGTCAGTCGGCGCAGTGCCTGGCCCTCTTTGGTCCTTTCAGAGAAGTCGGTCGCTTCCGGGAGCGGCCGCGCCGCCCGACGCCTTCCTCTCTATCCCCCGCCGTCTCTGTGGTCTCCGCGGCCCCGCCCCTCCTGGGCCGGCCGCGGGCTTCACGGAGTCTGCCCAGAGTCGGCCCGGGCAGCCGAGTTCCTGCGTGGTTCGGATCTCGGGTCATGGCAGCTCCAGGGCCCGCGCCCCGAGCTAGTACCAGGTAAGCTGAGTAGTTGGGGAGGACGGCCAAGTCGTGGGGGCTTCCTGCTCGGAAATGGAGGGGGGTCCTTCTATCCTCCATGCCTCGTCCGCCACCCTTGAGCCCTCGCCCTACTCCTGTGAGGTCTGAGCTGAAGAGATGGTCTGGAAGGGGCGCCCTCCCTTCCGATCCGAGGCACCTGCAGCTGCTCCCTCCAGCCTTTGCGGGGATTTTTGCCATCCCCCGCCACCCCGATTGTGGGAACTTCTCCCTTGCAATTGGCTTATTTTTAGAATATCAGTGCATAGAATTAAGTTGATGATAGTTCTTGTTCTTAGCCAGTGCAAGGCTCTTTTTTGTTATTTTATGATCTTTCACCCTTCGTCCGTGTTCTCAATTCCACTTTTCTCCCCTCTGATACCCATACTGGTGTGATAAGTGAGTGTCTACTGTACACCTTACATAAGTTTGCATATGTGTTATTTTGAAAATATATAGTGACTTTTTTTTTTATTGAGGGATTTTTGCTATAGGGTGCATGAACTTGCTGGAAGGACAGAGACAGCAAGGCAGAAAGCAAGAAATCACCCCCAGGCAGCATTCCCTCTTCCTTCATTCTCCTCTCCGTATTTTGGGCACGTATGCACATGCACCTGGTGTGAGTTTCAAGCCGCTGGGTATTGGACTCAAACAGTGGTTGACAACATAAGAGTCCAGTAACGTAACCATTATGCCATCTGCTGGTCCCCATAGTGGCTTTTAATTCATATAAATTATCATTTTTTTAAAGGTTTTTGCCATAGAGTGCATGCTCTGGGGATGCCACACTGCAGTCTCTTCTCCATTCTCCTCCTGAGGTTTTGGGTACACACACATAAACACACATGTGTGAGCGCGTACCCAGCCTGAGTTTCAAGCTGCCAGGTCCAGGACTCACACCACAGTTGGCCACGTAGGAGTCCAGTGCCTTAACCACCATGCCACCTGCTTGCCCTGTGTCCCATGTATTAATTTTTTTTAAAAAGTATTTCCATTTGTTATATTTTAAAATTGTTCAGAGAGAGAGAAGGAGAAAGGGAAAGTGAGAAAGCAAGCTGCCAGATCTATGACTCTGAACCACAGTTGGCCATGTGGGAGTCCAGCACCTTAACCACCGCACCACCTGCCGGCCCCTAATTTTCATGTATATATTGGGCATTTGGGTTTCCCCTTTTGCTCATTGCCAGTTTGTATCCTTTATTCTCTTTTCTATGGATTTACTGTCTTCCAGATTTGCAGGAATTCCTTTTTTCCTCAAGATTTAAATTCCTGTTGGTTTTACGCTCAGCAGATACCCTCTCCAAGTCTTTTAACTTAAGTCTATGGTACTATGTTGAACAAACATAATTTAACTCTAATTGCGTTAAATCCATTACCTTTCTGCTATATAGTCAGTAGGTTTGGGATCTTATTAGAGAACAGCCTTCCCATTTCCACATTGTTAGAGTACCTTCATTAGGATTTGTTCTACATGTCCTTCTATTAACTTAATAGTGTTACTTTGCACGTAACTCTTCTCAGCCTACCGTCTTCAGTGTTTCTGTATAAACCACTCTTCTCTGCATGGCGGGGACCATTGCTAGGCCAGTGTAGATAAGCTTGATAGCTGCTCTCCAAAGCTTAGGTCCCTCCTTGGGCTTCTCTCTGCTTTCCCTAATTCTCTTCCTCAGGCCCAGGTTAGATCTGAGGTTTCTCCAGCGGTTCCTTCGAATACAGAAGGTTTTATTTCCTTCTTGGTCATCGCAGAATGCCTTGATGTTCCTGACCCTTTTGTGTGTGGCCCTACTGGGTGAGTGAGAGAGCCCAGGCCAGAGGGGCGGAGGGCAGCCCTGTTTGGGAACCTGTTCCTTCTTTCTGGGGTATTGACAAGAGACTGAGAGGAAGCCTCTCTCATTCTTTTCTCACCCCCTATCACTGATTTCTGACTCCTCTCCCTCCCCACAGAACAACTGGTGATCTACCAGGTTGGCTTGATTCCCAGTCAGTACTATGGGGTCCTGGGAGACAAAGACCTGGATGGGTTTAAGACGCTGACATTCCTGGCTGTCGTGCTCATTGTTCTCAACTCCACGGTAAGGCCTTTTCTCTGTGCCTCTTCTCTCCACTCTAATGTGAGTGGAATGCCGGTGGGACTCGGCCTCCAGGAAGCAGGAACCAGGCTGTGGGTGTGCCCCTCTCTTCTAGGAACCAGTGGGATGGCTGCCTGACGGTCAGAACCCGAGGCAGGACATTGGTCTTGCTTCTGGCCAGCTTGGGTATGTCAGGCTCCTAGGGCTAGGCCACATCGTTCTGGTGACTTCAGCATTTAATCACTTCTTGACCTTTTGGCTAAGATCAGATCAAGTGTAGAATTATTAGTTTAATTTCACCTTAGTGGAAATGATCATTGTCCCTTCCATTCCTAGAACTCCTGCTTCAGAGCTCTTTGAAGCTGGGATCTGCAGCCAGAGCTACTGTTGCTCCTCTGGGGGGGGTGCTGAGGCTGTGACTCAGCCTGGCACCGTGTCACACCTCCTTCTTCGCACCTGCTACTCTCTCTCAGAGTGGCCTCCTTCCACCAGCCTTCCTTCAGTTGGTTTGTAGAGCTGCTGGTTTGTAGAGCTCCTCCACTGTCACCTCTTCCAGGTTCTCTTCAACTTTCTCCTTCCTGTTTCCTCCTCCAAGCACCGCCCCCTCCCCCTTTGTACGTAACTGATTCGTTCGTTTCCTCTGCTGGGACAAGCTCATGTCCTTGTGATCATCTGTTCCCTGGTGAGACTGTCAGCCATGTCCCTAGTGGTGAGCACCCTGTGCCGTGGAAGTGGCAAATGAAGGGAGTCAGGGCTCTGCCAGGCCTCGGCCTGCTGCTCTGCCAGCCTGCCCTACCTGTTTCCTTGGGGAAGCCGCTTCTTGCCTTACTGTTGCCACGTCCAGTGGGTCTTCAGTCAGTGAGCAGCTGTGTATGCAGACCCCTTTCTCAGCATGCAGACAGAGGAGTAAGGGTAGAAATAGAACAGAGGCTAGGAGCTCATGTACTGTTTGCAGAGGACAGTGCCTGTGGAGTGGGCTGGAGGGGCTTGCCTTTGGTAAGCCTGTAGGTATTTGGCGAGGGAATGAACATATGAGTGTCTGAGGAAGGGAGAATCCCATGACTTGATGTTTTAAACAGGAAAAGTGCTGAGTGGACAGAGATGATCAGAGCAGGCTGGGACAGCTCAGCACAGGCTTTCTGCCAGCCCTGCGCTTTGAGCCGAGACTCTCAGGAAGCCATCTTTCCCCTCCTTCCCTTCCCTTTTCCTCTCACGCTGCACAGCTGAAGAGCTTTGACCAGTTCACCTGCAACCTGCTGTATGTGAGCTGGAGGAAGGACCTCACCGAGCACCTCCACTGCCTCTACTTCCGGGGCCGCGTGTACTACACCCTCAACGTGTTGCGGGATGACGTCGATAACCCGTAGGCACCCTCTCCCGGTCCTCCTACCTCTGCGTGGCCCTGTCCGTCAGCTTAGGCTGGAGAGTCCTGGCTACAGACCCCACGGAGATCATCTATAGTTATTTGCAAAGGGCTGCCCAGAGCCGGGGAAGGGGGCTCTGCAGAGGACCCTGGGGAGACTGCAGAGCTGAGAATGGAAGAGACCAAGAGCAGCTCTCTTTATCCCTTTTATATGCTGGGTACCCTATGAAAAGCGTCCTTGCTAGAAAACCAGCTCTTAGATGTTAAGCAATAAAACAAGCATTCTGCCTGGAATTCAGGCTAGGATTCCAGTCCCCATTCTCTCACTTGCCAGCTTATAGCTCTTACATTTACTAAGGCCCAGGATCCCCTTTTGTAGAGCAAGGAGGGGATCCTGTCTCAAAGCTCCTGTCTCAGAGGACAGAGTGAGGATGAAATGACGGGATTGATGTGATGCACAGATACAGCTCTGTGGCTGACACAGAGACGCTTTCCAGAGTAAACTCAGTTTGGTATTTCACGGAGGCCACAGGGGAGTTGCCCAGGGTCACATCTTACCGGGAATAGGACTCAGTGTGGTCCAGGTGGCGAGATGGGACATACAGGGTCTCTCCTGCATCTCTCCTCCCCACTTCCTACCCTCTGCACGAGCACGTTGTTATCTGGGGTGACCTTTCTTTAGCTTGAGCAGCGTCTCGGTGGCTGTTGCTGCTGCTGCTGCTTCACCTCTAGCCTGCACCCCATGGCTCAGCCTGCATGAAGCTTTGGCAGCCAGGAAGCTCTTGCGGGCAGGTGCAGGCTCCTGTAAGAAAAATTGGGGAGGATTGAGATTAGGGGTCACTTTTCTTATATCTCAAGTTTTTCTTTGACTCTACAAAGAGCTGGCTCAGGCCCCTAGGTGCTGGGTCCTACAGTTCCCTCTTTTCCTGGGGGATAAACTGAGGCCCATTCTCCCCTGGCCAGTGCTCTGTTTAAAGGTTCTAAGAGTTTAGTGGCCCTGGGAAACCAGCCTTGTCGGGGCCATCTTCTCACGAGTTGTCTAGAGCACTGAAAGGCAAGGTCAGGAGAGGTGATGTGACACTGTCGTGGCTCTGTCTGCCCGTCGTCGGCTCCAGGGACCAGCGCATCAGCCAGGACGTGGAGCGCTTCTGCCGGCAGCTCAGCAGCATGGCCAGCCAGCTGATCATCTCCCCCTTCACCCTGGCCTACTACACTTACCAGTGCTTCCAGAGGTGAAGGACCTCCTCTTCCCAGGATCCCTCCTCTCCCTGGCCTGGTGTTTCCCCAGAGTTCCTCACTCCCCCTGGGGCTAGCTGAGGGAGTCAGCTCTTCCAGGTCAGAGTCCAGGAGAGGCTGGTGTCTCTCCCTCCATCCCTCCCACCTGTACCCCAGGGGACCTCCTTGTCTCCTGTGCTCAGGCTCCTGCCCTCCCTTTGGCCCTGTGGTATTTCAGTGTCCTAAGGGTCCTGGCAGTCACACCAGGGAAGAACTGACACTTCCACACAGGGCAGAGGGCGGATGGGGCTGCAGAGATCACACAGGGTCTACCTGAGAAGGGGTGGAGTCAGGGCTGAGGCCTGTGGGAGGTGCGGTGCTCCACTCCCTCCCTCGCCCTCCCTCTCTGCCTTTCAGCACAGGCTGGCTTGGGCCCGTGAGCATCTTCGGGTATTTCATCCTGGGAACCATGGTGAACAAAACTCTGATGGGACCTATTGTGGCGAAGCTGGTGCAGCAGGAGAAGCTGGAGGGGGACTTTCGGTGTGTCTTCCCCTGTTGGAGGTTTCTGGGTTGGATAAATGGTTAAGGAATGATCTGGAGTAAGACTGCTCGAGTTTGAATCCCAGCCCCGCCAGGTACCAGCTGTGTGATCTTTGGTGAGGTCTTTAACCTCACCAAACCTTAATCTTCTCCTGTCCAAAGTGGGAATGGCTCTGTTGTCTATCAGGAGAACTAGGAGGATTAATAAGATGATACGTGAGAAGTGTCAAGCACAGTGTCTGGTCAGCCTTTGCCACCACCCCCTCCCACTCCAGCCTTCTCACATGCTTGTAATCCGAATACCCTGAATTACCCTGTCTTGGGCCAGCTGGGCCTGGCACCGCCCAGGGTCCAGCCCCTATTCTGTGCTTCTTGGCTTTCTGTACGTCAGGCCGGGGGACAAGGAGGTGCTGTGGGCAGGAGTACACCTGCCCTTTCTATAGGAAGCCGAGAGGCAGCCCGGCCTTTGCAGAACGTCTATAGTTTCTACCCTGTCATAGTTCAGGGAAGGGTGGGGCCGAGGCAGCCACCGTTTTGAGGTACATCTGGGCTCCGCTTTGGAACTCAGAAGAACCAGTGGTCTTCCTGACACAGGGCTCTGACACAGGGGAGCCAGCACACCCGTTGTCAGCTCACCTTCCCTTTTCTGCCCAGGTTCAAGCACATGCAGATTCGGGTGAATGCTGAACCTGCTGCTTTCTACAGGTGAGTGCTGGAGAAGGTCTCCCACTCCCCAGAGCTGACAGTGGGGAAGGGACGGAGCCTCCAGCCTTCCCACCACCACCCGGCTCAGGGCGAGTGTTGTTACACTTGGCTGTGACCTCCCCATACCTCTCTCTGTCCTGGCCTTCCTCCTCCTTAGGTCCAGAGGTTTGCTTCCTTGCAGTGGCCGGCCTTAGTCTTAGTGGCCTGCCTGGCGTGGGGTCTGAAGTTGTTAGAGAATGAAATGAGTGAGCACTTTGTCATCTTGCCGGTGGCTGACAGGCACAGGCACCACCTCTGCCTCTGTTTCTGTCTGTAAAATAGCTCTCTGGGCCAGCCTCATAGCCTAGCGGGTAAGAGAGCCAGATCCCACATGGCTGGCAGCTTGAGAAAAGCACTAGGTGCATCGGCATGCGTGCCCAAAGTCCTGGCAGGGTGGAGAAATGGAAGAGAAGGGATTATGGTATGATTATACCTCCCTGCAGGGGTGCTTTCTCCCTCTCCCTCCTTCCTGTTTCTCTGGCTAGTGTACACATCTTCTGGTAATTTAAATAAATAAATTTTTTAAACCTTTATTTATTTATTAAGAGAGATTTTTGCTATAGGGTATGTGGGCTTATTGGAGAGAAAGACAGAAAGCAAGAAGTTACCCCTCATGGAGAATGGCCATTCCACAGTTCCTTCTCCTCTACTCATCTCCTGGGATTTTAGGCAAACACACACACACACACACACACACACACACACACATGCCCACACACACACACACACACACACACGCCCAGTGTAAGTTTCAAGTTACTGAGTCCAGGAACTCTAACCATGGTTGATCATGTGGGAGTTCCGTGCCCTAACCACCATGCCACCTGCCAGCCCCCAAAACAACACTTTCTTGCAACACTTGACATCCAGGGCTGCCCCTTTGTTTCTGTAGCTTGGGAAGAATTGGAGCCTCTCAGATCAGGAGGCTCGCACTTCACAAACACCGTCCTGGTAGAGCCGAGTGTCTGGTCTCCTGATAACAGTGTTGCGAAATCCCCTTTCTCTCTGGCTCCAGGGCAGTGCCCTGTCCTGTGTGATCCCTCTGGAATCCTTCCTTGGATTGATAGTACAGGCCCGAGTTTGTGTTTAAGGAGTGGAAGCTACTTCCTGGGTCACTGGCACTGGGGTGGGTCTAATAGCCTTGGGACCTTTGCTCTTCTCTGTAGTCCAAGCTGCAGTTTGCAGCCACCACCACCTCAGGGCCCCAAGAAGACTAAAACTGAGCTAGTGTAGAAGGGTGGGCGGGCTGGGCTTTTGCCTTCCTTTGGGCTCTGCAGCCTCTGTTCACCAAGTCTGTGCTCTGGAGAAGGCAGGTTAGTTCTGCAGATTCCCTGGGGGAAATCTGGAATGTCCCCCTCTCCTCCTCTTGTCTTTTCTGCCTGGTGAATTTGTGCTCATCCTTGGAGTCCCAAGCTACCTCTGGGGAGCCTTCCCAAACTCCCTAGTGGTTAAGGGACCATGTTATCCACCACCTCATTGCACTGACCACCCCAGAGCCAGGCACATAGAGGCTGCTCTGTGTATATTTGTTTAATAGCAGCAGCTATTACTTATTGAGGGTTCCTGATGTGTCTGTCACTTCATATTCAGAAACTTAATTCTCAGGGCCATCAGGTGGCGTGGTGGTTAAAGCTGGACTCCCATATGACCGACCACAGTTCAAGTCCTGGACCTGACAGCTTGCTTCTCTTTCTCTCTTTCTCTCACTCTGTCCTTCTCCGGTCAAGTTAAAATAAATAAATAAAGAAAGTTGAAATAAAAATTTTTTCAAATATAAATAATAGCAAATAAAATTAAATACATCTAAAAATTTTTTTAAAAAACACCTTAATTCTCACTCTGACCTATCACATCATATCATTAGCTCTGCTTCATGGAAGAGAAAAACAAGGCTCAGAGGCTTACGTATTCTGCCAGTGTTCCCCAAGTAGTAACTGGCCAGAGCCAGGATTTGAACCAGGTGTTTGAGCCAGGATTTGGACCTGGCCCAAGTCTGGCAGTAACATTTTCTTCCCAGCGACACTTCCATAAGGAATGACTGAAGCAGTTGGGGTGTTCATGGCAGAAAGGGTGGAGACCAGGATCCCGTGGGTGGGCATGGTTTCTAAAGGAGGGTGTGAGCCCCCCAGGCCCCACAGACCGCAGCCTCTCCCACCAGGGCCGGGCACGTGGAGCACGTGAGGACAGACCGCAGGCTGCAGAGACTCCTCCAGACGCAGCGGGAGCTGATGTCCAAGGAGCTCTGGTTGTACAGTAGGCAGAGGGCCCGGAGGCGGGGGCCAGGGAGGGCGGGCAGACCGGCCACCCTCTCCACTCCCTCTTTCCGTCTACCCTGAGGGATTTGCTCAGTGAGGAAAGTGACTGGGGAAGCTCTGCCTTTGCTGTGTGTGTCTGCAGGGGAATAAAGATCCTGCTCAGCTTCCTGCCCCACCCCGGGGGCCATGTGGTGGGGTCGGGGGAGCTGGTCTCTGATGCTGTCTCTCCCACAGTCGGCATCAACACCTTTGACTACCTGGGCAGCATCCTGAGCTACGTGGTCATTGCAATCCCCATTTTTAGTGGGGTCTATGGAGACCTGAGCCCCACAGAGCTTAGCACCTTGGTCAGCAAGGTGAGAAGCCCTCCCAATGACTCGTCCTGCTGCCCCTCTGCCCTTGCCTCCACTGTGGTCTTGGAGATGAGCCCTACGTGACCGGTCTGTCTGTCCAGAACGCCTTCGTGTGCATCTACCTCATCAGCTGCTTTACCCGCCTCATCGACCTCTCCACGACACTCTCGGATGTAGCTGGTTACACGCACAGGTGAGGCTCCCCCCGACCCCCACTGGTTCCCAAACAGAATGTGCCCCTGGAAGAAGTGGCGAAAGGAGAAAAGGAATAATAAAACACCGTGCACTGCGACCGCGAGACAGAAAAGGCAGCCTCGCCTTCCCTAGGCCCCCAGACCTAGTATCAGTTCCCTTCTTGCCCAGGATCGGGGAGCTGCAGGAGACCCTCCTGGACATGTCCCTGAAGTCACAGGACTGTGAGCTTCTGGGCGAGAGCGAGTGGGACTTGGACAGGTGAGTACTGGGGCTTGGACAGGTGAGCCTGCAGTGTGAAGAACATTTCAGGCCCAGAGCTGTCTGTGTTCACATGTCTCTGTGCATCTGGAATGTTTCTGAGCTTCCTGTGCATTCAGAGTTTCTTTCATCTTTATTTTTCTTAGGCAAATGACTTAGGATTTTTGTCTGTTTTGTGTGCGTGCGTGTGTGTGTGTGTGTGTGTGTGTGTGTTTTGTTTTTGTAGTTTTGCCATGGGGGATGTGTGCTCTCCAGAGACAGTGAGAGAGAGGGAAAGTGAGAAGTTACCCTTCCCAAGGAGGATGACCATGCTCTAGTCCCCTCTCCTCTATTCTCTCTCTCTCTCTTTTTAAAAATATTTTACTTAACTTTATTCATTTATTTATGTATTTTAATTTGACCAGAGAGGAACAGAGTGAGAGAGAGAGAAAGCCACCAAGTCCAGGACTCAAACCACGATCAGCCATGTGGGATTCCAGTGCTCTTAATCACCACGCCACCTGCCGGTCCCATCTCCTCTATTCTCTTGGGATTCTTCACATGGCTGACTGCAGGGAGACAGAGACAGCGAGAAATCACTCCCCCAGGGGGATGGCCATGCTGCAATCCCTTCTCCTCCATTCTCCTCTCAGGGTTGCACGTACACGCGCCTGGTGTGAGTTTAAGCCACTGGGTCTAGGACTCAAACCACGGTCGACTACATGGGAGTCCAGCGACATAGCCATTATGCCAACTGCTGGTCCCCCTGGCATATTTTTTAAGCTGTTGAGTCTAGGGCTCAACTGTGCGTGTGGGACTGGCCACCTTATTTTCCATGCCATCTCTTGGACTGAGATCCCCATTTCTCTCTCTCTTTTTTTTAAGTTTGCTATTGAGTGTGTGCACTGGAGGGAGGGAGGAGGAGACAGAGAGAGAAAGTGAGGAATCATTCTCCAGGGGATGGCCACACCACAGTCCCTTCTCTGTTTTCCTCTTGGGATTTTGGGCACATATGCACATGCCTGCCATGATTTTCAAGCCACCAGGTCCAGGACGTAAACCACTCAGTCGACCATGTGGGATCTAGCAGCCTTAATCTCCACACTGTCGCTAACTCAATCCCATCTCTTAAAAAGAAAGAGAGAAAAAACACAGGCCCATGGCTCAAACAATAGGAAGTTATTTTCTCACAGTCTGGGTTGGTTTCTTCTGAGGCCTTTTCTCTTGGCCTGTGATTGGCCACCTTCTCGCTGTGTCTTCACAGGGCTTTTTTCTGTCATTCATGCCCATGATAGGCCCTTTGTCTTAAAAGGATCTAGGGGGACCGGCAGGTGGCGTGGTGCTTAAGGGCGCCGGACTCCCCGTGGCCAGCTGCAGTTCATGTCTCGGACCTGGCAGCTTGCATTCTCACTTTCCCTCTCTCCTCTCCCTCCTCTCTCTCTCTCTGACCCTCTCTGGTCAAATTAAAAATAAATAATAAATGAAGTTAAATAATTCTTTTAAAAAGAGCATTATTTATTTATATATATAAATTTTAATTAGACCAGAAAGAGACAGGGAAAGTAAGAAAGCAAGCCACTAGGTTTGGGACTTGAACCGTGGCTGGGCATGTGAGAGTCCAGCACCTTAACAACCACACCTGACCTGCTAGCCCCCAAGAGTCACCTCTTTAAAGACCCTGTCTCCTAAATACACTTACATTCCAAGGTACTGGGGAAGCAGAGGGGACACAAGTGAGCCCATGTAACACTGCCCGTCCAGAGGTGAGGCCTCGCCACGGTGACACTGACGCTGCCTGCCTTCCTTCCCCTCCCTCTTTACCCCAGGGCCCCAGGGTGGCCAGCTGCAGAGCCAGCAGACACGGCGTTCCTCCTTGAGCGCGTCTCCATCTCGTCCCCCTCCTCTGACAAGCCCCTGATTAAGGAGCTGAGCCTGAAGATCTCCGAGGGCCAGAGCCTGCTCATCACGGGCAACACGGGCACTGGCAAGACTTCCTTGCTGCGGGTTCTGGGCGGCCTCTGGGCCAGCATGCAGGGTGAGAGCAGGCCCTTGGCTGGAAGGTTGGGAAGGAGGCCTGTGTGGAATCCATCCTTGTTTGGGGAAAGAGGGCGAGGGGCAGAGAGAAGAGGAGTGGCCGTGACTTTGTCTAGGAGCTCTGATAATGGAGGTTTCTGTGGGCTCCGCAGGCTCGGTGCAGATGCTGACAGACTTTGGGCCCCACGGGGTGCTGTTCCTGCCACAAAAACCATTCTTCACTGACGGGACCCTTCGGGAGCAGGTCAGCTCACCGTATCCCCCCAATGCCCTATAAGCGGGACCTCAAGCAATGCAATGGGTCTCTGGCCAAGGGAGTTGGGAGCAGGTGGTGGGGATAAGGTGGCCCAGGTCTGGAACTTCCCAGCTCTCAGGGACATTATCCATGGTTTGGGCCCAGGTACTCAGAGCAGTTCTTGGAGCAGTTAACTCACTGAACGGTAGAGATTTGGGGCTGAAGGCCACATGCTATTTACTGAGCACTGAGGTTGGATCCTGGGGCCCCTGCACTCAGGAGCCTTCAGACTCCTTGCCCCCATCACTCCTGAAGGTCGTAGGGACCCTCCTCCTTGTCCGCTGACTGAGCCTCCACTAGACCCTTGAGCCAGGGTGTTCCCTACCCTCAGTGGAGAGGAGCCCGGCCTGTGGGGACCTGGGGAGGGAGAGGGCTGCACATCTCTCACTGGCCCTCCTCCTAGGCCGCTGTGCTTTCTGTTTCATCAGGTGATCTACCCCCTGAAGGAGATCTACCCGGATTCAGGTGAGCTGGGCCTCCTTCGGTCATATCCTCCCATCTCTAGTGTCCCTGCTCTGCCTGATGGTGGCTTCCCCTGTGCCTTTGGGGCAGCTAGTTTCAGGGCAGATCCCCTCTTTCTCTGACTATTTCCTACTGGGGGTCTGTACCCTGACCTCCTCCTGCCCCATCTTCCCCTCCTGGAGGAGAGACAGCCCTTAGAGGAAGCGAAGTGATCACTTCCTTCACTGGCCCCTGTCGAGTGCCATACTTGTCAGGCCAGAGCCATGTGCCACCTGGGGCCCCCACCCCACCACAGTGTGCGTCGTCTGTTCTGGCTACCCAGAGGAGCTGGCGTGTCGAAGATGGCTTCCCTGTTTTATAGGCTCTACTGATGATGAGAGGATCATGAGGTTCTTAGAGCTGACTGGCCTGGTAAGTGGGGCCAGGGATCCGAGACCTGAGCCCACCAGGTAGCACTGGCCGCAGGTGCTTGCCCAGCAGGAAGGTACAGCGTGGCAGGAGGGGAGTGCAGAGTGGCAGTGGGAGCTGTCAGCCGGGCGCAGTGATGAGGGGTGCCCTCTGCTGTTAGCATCACTGTGCTCCAGGAAATCTACGTGGCATAGTTGGTAGACTATATCGAGGTTGCCCCAGGCCCCTCTTGGCATGTTTATGGGGTGTATGTCTCTCAGGCATGTGGTGGTGGGGCTAAGAGGGGCTTCAGAATGGCAGGAAGCAGAGAAGGGTCTTCCATGGACCTCATGTCCTCTGGGTCTATTACAGTCCAGCTTGGTGGCAAGGACAGAGGGTCTGGACCAGCAGGTTGATTGGAACTGGTAAGAATGGGGTTGAGGTGCTCTAGGGCCAATCCCCACGTCTTTGGTGGATTCCAGGATCCTGTCAAGGGATGGAATGGCTCCTGCCCCCAGAGTCCAGCTGTTGGGCTGGTCCATCTGGGGCATGGGTTATGCCCTTGGGAACAGAGTTTTGGCCTCATCTTATGTGGGTGCTGGGCTGTGGTTGGTCCTAAGACCAAGTCTCTGCAGAAGAAACCTGTTGCCCAGAAGCATTCCAGGCAAAACCAGGCTCCGCCTCCTTCCTCCAGCGGGCCCCTCTTGCTGCCTCTCTCTCAGGTATGATGTCCTGTCCCCAGGAGAGATGCAGAGGCTCTCCTTTGCCCGGCTCTTCTACCTGCAGCCGAAATATGCAGGTGAGGGGCACCTGGTAGGCCCGTGCTGGCCCTGAGCCTGCTCACCAGTGCAGCAGTGTCATGGGCACCTGAGCCCTGCCTGTGAGGGCCAGAACTTGGCACCTCGGGGAGTTCTGGGTGTGCTGAGACTGACTCAGGCCCTCTGCTGCGCAGCAGCTGGAGCCGGGAGCCAGCCTTGAGGGGAGTGGGGTTTTGTGCTCCTTGGGCTCTGACATCTAGTAAGTGACTCCCCCAGCAGTCCTTCCAGAGGGATGGCAGGATTTCTCCAGACCGACGCCCTCGGGAGAACTGAGCAGTCCTAGGGAGTGGCTAGTGCTTTTCTCCAGGCTAGAGCTGGGGGGTTTCATCCAGCCACTCCCAGGATCCCCAGAGGGAGCCTGGCCCCCCACTCCTTTGGCCTGTCCTCTCCCCGAGGCAGGTTTTCTGTAGCCAGAGCAGCTTTTGGCCTCCCGGGGCCCAGTTGGGGTGAGTGTGGGTTGGAGAGGCAGAGATGGACGGGGCAGGATTTCCATCTCTTCCTGCCGGCTCCGGCCCTCAGTGCTCGATGAGGCCACCAGCGCCCTGACTGAGGAGGTGGAGAGCGAGCTCTACCGCATCGGCCAGCAGCTGGGGATGACGTTCATCAGTGTGGGGCACCGGCGCAGCCTCGAGAAGGTACCTGTGCCCACCAGGGTGGCCTGAGGGGGAGGAAGAACCCACAGGCTGGGCCTGGCCAGGGCCTACTCCCAGTGCTAGGGAGTAGGGAGGGGTGGCAGAGAGCAGGGAGGCCTGCGGCTGTCGGGGCCAGGGCAGCCTGATCTCCGTGATCTCTGTGTGGTGGTCTCGCACAGTTTCATTCCTTGGTCCTGAAACTCTGTGGAGGAGGAAGGTGGGAACTGACCAGAATCAAAGTGGAGTGAAGCCAAATTGTGGAGGGCCACCGGATGGAGAGCTAAGCCCTAGCAGGGTGGCAGTCCCAAGAAGAGGCCAGGACTGACAGGAAGGAATGAGCCTCCAGTCACCTCATGGGTCCTGTGCAGCAGCCCTGGCCCTGGTGAGGCTTGGCCCAGGCGTGGGCCTCACCCGGGGACACCATCTTCCCAGAGCCGCTGCTGCTGTCTCAGCCAGAGCTTCCTGAGCTTAAAGTGCTGATTACTTACAAATGCCTTCAGATGGTGTTTGCTAAGGAAGGATCTGAACGTGTGGGATCTGTAAGAAATGAAGGGGTGGGTTGAAAAAGAGTATTAGATTTAGAGTCAAGAGATCCAGAAGTCTTCTAAATCAGTGAAATTTTGCAATAGATTTTGAATTTTAATGAACTGATCATTTACATTTTTAACTTTTTAAAAAAGTTAAATATTAAAAATATATTTTTACACCTCTCTCCCCTTTTCTTTATTTTCTCTATTATAGAATGATCTTTTTCATTCAGTCTGTGGTCTTGTTTTTCTTTTCTTTCTTCTTTGTTTTAGTTTTTGCTGTAGTGAGTATACTTGCCGGAGAGACAGAGAGAAGGGAAGTGAGAAATCACCCCTGGGGGGATGGCCATGCCATGCTACCTTTTCCTTTTGGGGTTTTTGTGCATGCATGTGCATGTGCCTGGCGTATTTTGTGAGCCACCAGGTATGGGACTCAAACTGTGCAGTTGGCCATGTGGGATCCAGCTTAACTACCACGCCACCTGACTGGCCCCAATCTCTAGCCTGGTATCTAAGAGCCTGGAGG